TTGGAGGTAATGATACTACTTCAGTTGGAGAGAAAGCTTGTATTGTTTCAGCTGTAAATAAAAAAAGAACAGAAAACGAGAGAGAAAATTAAAAAGAGATATGAGTGAGAGATCCAAATATTAAAGAATACTTTGCATTTCTTCAGCTGAAGTAGTAGGGGATTCATTGACAATGTACAAATTCTTCTTCACCCTCCTCCTATCATCATAAAACATAATAATAACTTTAACGTCAAACATTGAACTTACTTCATTATAACTAATGCAATGATGATGATGGCTATTACTACTATCATAACCAATAGTAATGGTACCAATGTCCCTACTATTATAAAGTAAAGTATTGAGACGTCGCCAGATATTGGAGGAGCAGATGCAATATTGCCTGATAATAAATTAGTCATGAATAAAAATAAAGTGATTAAGATTGAGCTCACTAGGCGACTGGAAGAAACTTGATGAAAAATCTGTAGAAGTACTTAAAGTGCTTGGTTTTGTAGAAGTTACTGCACTCTTTGCTGTATATTTATAATAATAAAAATAACAAATACATACTAATAAAGAGCTTACTCAATGACTGGACTGTTGATATAGAACTTGTTGAAGTTCTCATGGTGTTTGGTTTGTTAATAGCTGAATATTAGATAAGGTAATAATAAATTCGGTGAAAAGTAACTTACTTGTAGGAGCTATAATTGTATTCCCTATTCGAGAAATAGAGATTGAAGTAGTTTTTGATGAAGTAGTTTTTGATGAAGCAGTTGATAGTGTGGAGGAGGTTGATGATGAACTCATCGATCTAAGAGGTGTTGAAGAAGAATGTGATGAACTACTTAATGAAGTAAGAAATGTTGAAGTAGGATGTGATGAACTACTTAATGAAGTAAGAAGTGTTGAAGTAGAGTGTGATGAACTACTTAATGAAGTAAGAAGTGTTGAAGTAGGATCTATTGAACTACTTAATGAAGTAAGAAGTGTTGAAGTAGGATGCATTGAACTACTTAATGAAGTAAGTAGTGTTGAAGTAGAGTGTACTGATGACATAAATGAAGAGCTCAATGAACTAATAGGTGTTGAAGTATAGTTTGACACTGTAGTTGTGAGTTGAGTTGAAGTTGAGTTGAAGTTGTTGTGAGCAGTTGAACTGCTCAATGAAGCAAGAGGTGTTGAAGAATACAAGTGTAATGAACTGCTTAATGAAGTAAGAAGTGTTGAAGTAGGATGTGATGAACTACTTAATGAAGTAAGAAATGTTGACGTAGAATGTGATGAACTACTTAATGAAGTAAGAAGTGCTGAAGTAGAGTGTATTGATGACATGAATGAAGAGCTCAATGAACTAATAGGTGTTGAAGCATAGTTTGATACTGTAGCTGTGAGTGAGGGAGATAAACTGCTCATTGAAGCAAGAGGTGTTGAAGAATACAAGTGTAATGAACTGCTTAATGAAGTAAGAAGTGTTGAAGTAGATTTCAATACTACAGTTGATGATGGAATTAAATTGCTCAAAAAACTAAAAGGCATTGAAATAATGGTAGTTGTGAGTGAGGGAGATAAACTGCTCATTGAAGCAAGAGGTGTTGAAGAATACAAGTGCAATGAACTGCTTAATGAAGTAAGAAGTGTTGAAGTAGATTTCAATACTATAGTTGATGATGGAATTGAATTGCTCGAAGAACTAAAAGGCATTGAAATAATGGTAGTTGTGAGTGAGGGAGATAAACTGCTCATTGAAGCAAGAGGTGTGATGGTTGATACTACAGTAGGTATAAGAATAGATGAATTGCTTGATGTAAGAAGAGGCACTGAAGTAGAGTTTAATATTAGAGTGGATGAGCTATTTAATGTAGCTGATGATGAGGTAATTGAAGAGCTTAAAGAACTTAAAGATACTGAAGTATAATTCGGCACTATTGTAGTAGAGATTGAAGATGATGAACTGCTTAATGGAGTAAGAAGTGTTAAAGAAGACGTTGATACTTCAGTGGGTGAAATTATTAAACTGCTTGATGCACGAGTAGGCATTGAAGTAGAGTCTAACACTTTAGTTGATGATAGAATGAATGAGGTAGACAATGAGATTAATGCACTAAGAGAAGTTGAAGTAGAGCTTGGTACTACTTGTATAGTTGGTGAGATTGGTGAACTGCTTGATATAGGAAGAGGTATTGAAGTAGGGTTTGACATTGTAGTCAATAGAGTGGATGAGGATAATGAAGAGGGTAATGTACGAAGAGATGTTGATGAAATATTTGTAGTGCTCAATGTAAGAGTTGAAGTAGTTGAAAAAGTAGACACTTTTTGTGTAAATTCACTTGATGTTATAGTATGCCGCAATGAAGATGAAATTGTTGATGATGCTAGTATTTCTGAATAAATAGTATCAGTATCGTAATGGGTCAGTGTATATTTCCGCCGTTCAAAATTCCTAACCTAAGGAATTTAGATTTTATAGTAATTATCCAATAATCTAATGTCTTACTAATAGATATTTTGCAATATTCAAGTAAATCAGTAATTTAGAAAACTCTAAACATTGGGTTTTTAAATTA